GCTACTGGGATTTAAAAGTAGTTGCGCAAAACGGAGCGTGCCCCTTCTACCGGTTTTAAAGGGTTAAGTGCTGATGTAGAGGTATTTCCTTGGGTAATGACATCTATGGTTCAGAAGAATATTACAGTATGTACCTATGCTGAGAATCCAGTTCATCCAAGCACCTTAAATAGAGTACAAAGCATTTTTTTTCAAATCCTGTTGATGTGTGATCACCTCTATTTGCTCTATCCTGCATAAATTTGTGTCGGCTTGTGTCTTTTCATAGACTTTGCAAGCAAAACAATTACATACAAACTTCACTTTGTGTTTGGTCTGTGGTCATTGGAGGTGGCATGAAGAGCTTAGGCTTTTTTATTACTTTATTTATCACAATGTTAAGTGCAGCCAATAAGATTTCTCGGATGTGAGTCAACACATCACAAGGCACATCTGCAAACATGTCAGTTTATTTGTTAATACTTGATATTTCCTTGTCTGTTTGTAGGCTTACAACCTGTGCAGAACGAAACAAGAGAAGATCTCTTTGCTCTCTGACCTACTGATCCGGAGAGGAGAAGGTGTCACTTCCACCACTCGTAGGATTGGTCCGGAGCTCTCCAGACGCATCTTCTTGACAATGAGCTCCTGTGATCCAGAACTGAGTCTAGACTCGAATCTCTGAAATTTGAATTTGATTTTGTGGCCCACCTGCTTTGAGTTGGCAGTTTGTGGTCATATCTTTGAATTTAATGCTATGTAATTAAAGTTCAGATTTTTAAAACTTTTATTTATGTACCGTATTAAAGTTTTATTCAAATAACAGTTTTGAAGACCACTATAAGATATGCACATCAACCATACTTAATTGATTCTGGGGGAAATTGTGTTACAGCTCACTTTAAGCGTTAGTGAGGTGACTGATTTTAATCTTTGGCACTGTTTTATTTACACATGTATTCCCTCCCTGCTTCATAGCATTGAAAGACACCTTCAGTTGTGATAACTTTGAGTTATTTGAAACACATGTTGAAATACCTGTCATCTCACTTCAAAGACCAAACCTGCCATATCAGTCTAAATCATGTTTCACAAAAATGTAAGAAACATATTAAATATATTATTGTGAAATTAGAACAGTCACAATTTATCATCTCATCCACATCTGTTTCCAATCACTGGACCTTAAGCCTCACCCACAGTGCTCAGGTGGCACGCCCCAACACAATGATATTGACCAATCAGCTGAAAGGAAAAAAATTCTGGTCAAAATTCGTATTTGCAAGTTGAAACTCACAAGCGAGGGAACTTGAGCGCAGAGTTTTACGCTTTGTATCTGTAAACAGACCTTAACAAAAAAAATGTGTAACTTGTGTAATTTTTTCATTTTCAAACACAAATCTTTTTTAGACATACACAAATTCTTATCTATATACAAAAATTGTAGATCTTGACAAAATGCACAAAGACACAATTTTCAGATATTTTTGTTTACAAGGTTACAAAACTCAGTTCACAACTACACAGTCTCATTTACAAGTACAAAATATGACCACAATTTGAGCCCATTACGTGTGAATAATGTAGAAGTTTGTGGAAAACTGTAGCTGACTAAATGTCACTAGTTGGGCATAACTTTGAGCCTTTGAAGCTTCAAATGCTCTTTTGTTACAATGAGAAAGATGTATTACTCTATCCAATGCTTCATCTGCCCATCTATAGTCCAAGTGGATTTGAGGTGTCGCAAACACCTGTCTTCCCCTTTGTCTTCTCCAGGAATTTTGGGCATGAGAATCAGAACAGTATTTAAGGGTTCTGAGAGAGACCAATGAATAAGTTGGGTGGGGGTATGTGGTAGCACTCGACTTAAGCGGTCAAAGAAGTGCAGGAGAC